TTTTTTTTTTTGACAATGACGCAAATCGGTTATTGTTCGGATAAGGAAATGATGTTGAAAGGAAATCTCGAATGCTAATAATAAGAAAAACAATATCGGCAGGTAGTTATCCATAGAAGGTGGAAGTTTTTGTTTTTATTCATTCAGTTGTCAAACAATTCAATTCTATTGTTTGATAAAACCGATTTTGAAAAGGTTGTAAAATAATAGAGACTTTCATTTAAAGCAGAGAATTGATTAATATCAAGGTCTTTATATGAAAAGTGTCGACAAAAGATCCTGGTGATCATGGAATTGGGTGACTAAGTTTTTACGCAAAGAAAGGAATTTAAATGATTCGAGAAATTACACGTAAATTACGTTTTTATAATATTGTCCTACATTTGCTATTGTGTGACACGAACAGGTCTCATATAAAAAGCTTATAAAAATAAGTTATGAAATTCGGGGACTATATTAGAACAGAAAATCAATTATAAACCTGAAATCCAGTTGATTCCAGTTAGAAGAAAGAATCATTATAGACTCATATAGAGGTACTAAAAGTCGGGAAGTAAATTATGTACGAGCTAAAATACAGGATGTATTTTCTGGACGAGCTTCGGGCCAGCGAACATATTATAGCGGACGAACGGAAAAGGCCATAATAATAAATCTGAGGACCAGCGAATCTATTATAGCAGAATGGTTATATTTTAAGTATTCTAAACAGAATGTATGCCTAAAAAGGCATAAAACTCAAAAATTCAGCTTTAGACCGGCTGGGATTTGAACCCTGGTTCCTATGGCATCTCTCGATTGTTGTACGGCTCCTTAGGGTTCAAATTCACCTCCTTATCTTCCTAAGGTTACAGCTCTGTATACCATGGAAGAAAAATATTGTAGATTGTATACAAAAAATTCGTTAATACAAGAAAATCTGCTCTAAAAAGCTAGATGCAATTTCGCAACAATATTGTGCATGTACCTTGCTTTGAAAAACATTGATCATGTATGATCATGATTTTCCTACTTCGCAACTATTCCTCCTAAAAAAACACCTCCACAATCACCTCTCCCCTTACTTGGTGTTTGTTTTGCAATAGTTTATTTGACTACTGTTTCTTGTGCTAACAACCGCCTACTTTCAACTCCCTCGGTTATGCATTCCATTGTTTCTTTATATCAGACACTCTTACCGTCCTCTGTATTGGTATTACAAAATTCGCATATGCATTTTCCAAATTATTTCGATAGAAATGTATATATACGAAGCTAGGAGGCCAATTAGTCTGGGGAATCTATTACATTCTAAATGATGTCCTGATGCCTATTCTAGAAGATGCGAAGTCGGGTAGCCTATGAGCTTAAATACAGATAGTCTATGATGGAGGAGCTTCACACCAATAAATGTTTATTGTAAAACAATTGAAGACCAGCGAATCGATTATAGACCACTGATATTATTTTAGAATATAGACTAGATGAGCCGAACGCAAAAAAAAAAAATGGAAATTGGTACTACTATGTACTAAATTTAGTACATTTTGAATTGTGGGTGAACCGATAGAGTTGGAATCCTAAAACTTGAATTTAGGATCACTGTGGAGGTGTAAAATTGGGGTATGTAGGAAGTTTTGGAAATTGGTACTACTGTGTACTAAATTTGGTACAATTTGAATTGTGGGTGAACCGATAGAATCCTGAAACTTGGATTTGGAATCATTGTGTGGTGAAGGCTTGGGTTAAGCAGGAGGTTATGGAAATTCGTACTGCTGTACTAAATTTGGCACAATTTGGATTGTGAGTGAATCGATAGAGTTGGAATTCTGAAACTTGGATTTAGGATCAGTGTGGGGGGTAGGATTGGGGTATGTATACTGTTTTGAAAATTGGTCCTACCGTGTACCAAATTTGGTACAATTTGAATTATGAGTGAACCGATAGAGTTGGAATCCTGAAACTTGGATTTAGGATCACTATGGAGGTGTAGGTTTGTGGTAAGAAGGAGGTTTTAGATCGGGGTATGCTTAAAGTTTTGTTGGGTGGTTGAGGAAGGTACTTATGGAAATAATGTGTGCTAAATAGAACTAAATTTGGTAAAATTTGGATTTGGGTGAACCTTTAGAGCTCGAATCATGAAATTTGGTACAAAATGGTACTCAAATCAATTTATGGTCGATTTTTATGTGTGGATTGATTAGTTTTCCTGACATATACAGTTTTCTGTGAAAATAAAATGATATGTTAATACATGTTTAAATATTACCCACATTCGCTAACGAAGTACCGGGCAAATGCTAGTTATAGAATATATGAAGTCAAAGAAATTTTGCACGAGCTAAGGCCATACAATATTAGATATAAAAGGCAGACTGGAGGCTAAGTAGTTTATTTTAAGCAAGCTGAAGGCCACGGAATCTATCATTGATGAACTGAAGCTTAGAGAGGGTGTTTATCATTGACGAACTGAAGTTTAGCGATCTTAAAGACAGAATGTATCTTAAAGACAGGATGTATTTTATGGGCGAGCTTCTAACATTTAGTTAGAGAATCGATTATGAATGAACTGGAGATCAGAAAGTCGATTATAAAACAAATCTTAGGATCACGGAATCTATTATAAACGGACGAAATCGCAAGTTTATTTCAGACAAGTTAAAGCATAATTGTTACTAGGAATAAGCTAATACGATTTTAGGTCAACATGAGAATTAAAACTATTGAAATGTTTATGAGAAATGTTTTAGATCGATAGAATATATCTTCGCATTTTATAAAGGCTTGGCTATGTTATGGTGATATATGAAGTTTGTATCAGAACTAGTACACCATTATGTTCATATGGAAATCCGAACTTTATATAAGTTTAGAAAAATAAAAAAAAAAAAAAAAAAAAATGTTTATAATGTTGAAGTTGACCATCTTGGTGCTTGTGGAACGATAAGACCCATTTTGGCCTTGTAATATATTGTCGCAAATATATTGAAAATATTTTGTTAAGAGGCATTTCTCTAATACCAAATCACAGTCATCTTATAAAAGTTAGGCTAGTTGGACTTATATTAAACCAGTGAGCGGAGCAGTATAGTCGGACGGAGCCGACCATATGATACCCTACACAACTTCCACGAAAAACTAACTTTCTGTGGATCTATATTCTGAGCTTGGGCAATATTTCGCGATTTTTGAACCATCTGGACCAACTAGAGGCCGACAATTATTACTAATGTTCAGTACAACCCCTCTAATTACTTGTCCAGATTCCTTTCCCTTATTCCCATTGGAGCCTACAGATCGACTCGAAAAAACACAAAACCTTAAGTTTTCGGTCCAGTTCATCGTCACCGAAAATTGTAGGCGTCGTCCTTGACCATAACTGGAACTTCATGGATCATTTTAAAGCGATCAGCGCTATATTTCTGCACTCTAGTGTGGTAAAGGGTTACTAAATACTATCTGAATACATAAGCACCTGTAAATATTTAAGTGTAACTCCCACATCTGAGTACATATGACCATATATTTGGTATCAATTTAAAGGTCAAAAACTGCCCTTGGATGTACAAACAACTTTTCGGGTCTATGTCCTTCAGGGGTAAATCTATACGTTATAGAATACAAATTTTGTAATTTTTCACACAAGTCAGGGTCCATTTGACCCGCTAAATATTGACCGATCCTTATCAAAACAGGCAGGCTTATTCTTTGGCCCGATCCCTTTCTCTATGTAACAATTCGCGATGTTTGGGTCATAATTGCGGCCTCTAGAGCGACCAGAAAACCCGATAAAAATTAAGTATTTGGTCCAATTCATCCCCTAGATATTAATCGATCTTTACCAAAAACAATAGGGGTCTTCATTGGCCAGAACCCATCCTACATGCAAAATTTCGTGAAGATTGGTCCATAACTGTGGCCTGTATCGTGTTTACAAAATATAATAGACAGACGGACGGACGGACACACATGTCTAGATCGACTCAGCTGGTCGAGGTATGACGATCGGTATACTTAAAGGTGGGTCTAGGACCAATATTTCTCGGCGTTACAAACACTTGGGGCTGCACAAAGCTATAATACCCTGACAACATAGTTGTGTAGGGTATAAAAATGTGTCCCAGTATGGTTTTTATCCTCTGAGAACCTGACGAAACGCCTCGCATAATGATGGCTGCGTATGTTCTTCCCCTGGTTTTCCTTTTCATTGCAAAACTCCGATCATTAGGCTCATCGCCTCGAAAAAAAAAATATTTAAAAATCATTCAAATTCAAATAAATAAAAATTTAAATGAATTTATTTCAAAAATACCCAAATCATAACGTAAACTTTACTCAAATGTTATTGTGAATGTGGTGTAACTACGGCCAGCAAAAAATATCTGAACACTTCCTAACATGTGTTCACCAAACCTTAAACACAAAACAGCTGTTGTTGTTTACAATTACATTTTTATAAGCATTTTACAGTTCGTCCTCGGACGGCTCACAAGAAAGACGTAAAAAAAAAATTTTAAATGAGTACTACACGCCCATGGGCTTAAAAATAGATTTTTACAAAATGGCGGTTGTTAAGCGTTCGCTTAACTAACACGTGTGTTTTTAAATACGGATAACCTATAAATTACGAGTCGTTCAACAAAATCCAAACAGCTGCGCATGAAATTTTTAATTTCCGTAAATTTAATAGCAAAAGAAGATGCTTTTCGCTACTATGTGACTCCTTCACAGTAGAAGAGTTCACTGATACACAAGGCTTAGAAAGTCTGAACATTGTGGTCAAATTCTTAAAGAAGATCGAAGTCAACCTGCAAAACACAAACCACCATCTATGGATAAAGTCAAATTCGTAGCAAAGCTACATACGGATACATGGCACTAAACCTTCTATCCCTATAGAAAGTGGGCCAACCAAAATAATATAAAAAAAAAAAAAAAAAAAAAAAAAAAAAAAAATAAGCATTTTACAAATCTATCCTCCTAAAAATTTCAATAAAAACATAAATTTCTAAATAAAACCAATGTCCGAAACAACCTCAATGGAATTTAAAACATTTCTCAGACAAATACAAAAACAATATTTGTGCTGTTATCCCTTGCATTGCATAGAATGGGAAGTAAGTTTTCAACAATCTCTGATAATTCAAGATAAACAAAATTAATATTTATTTACTATTAGGCCTTCCCCAAAGATATGACCTGGGATCAACAGAAGGATCTAATAGATGCCACCTACAATACAGCGCTAAATCAACAGCTACCCATTAAAATTGCCTACCAATTGAATTTTCTCAAGAAGTTGATAGCATTTTTGGAACAAACTACCTCAGAAGTCCATGACACCGTCTATGAGAGTTATTGTGATGTCCAACTGCGGGTTGCCGAAGATAGTACACAAAAATATGCATTTAAACATTATCTACTGGACGATGAGATTCACTTTACGCTACGGGAATCAAAAAGTTTTGTGGCCGAAGGCACTACAGGCCTTTGCAGTTGGCAAGCGTCGCTGGCATTATCCGATTTTATGTTACACCATCGGGATTTATTGGAAAATAAACGAATTCTTGAATTGGGAGCTGGTACGGGTCTATGTGGTTTTATACTATTTAAAATGTGTAAACCCCAACAGATCATGATTAGCG